ATTTTATTTAAAAAATAATGCAATAAAATCTGGAAAACAACACATCAAAGTAGGAAAGTAATGAATATCTATAAATAATCTAAGTAGAAAACGGGTAAACCGGGATTTGACAACAAAGAATCATAATTTTGTTTTCAAAAGGATACACTTATATTCTTAAAACTAACTTACTAAATAACAGCTTTTATTCTGAATAATAGAAATTTATGATAGATCATTTGATTGCCATCCTCCAGTCTGAATCCAAAGACAAAAGGAACGAGGAAAAGAACGTCGGGAACGATTGAGCCCCCTAAGTTTTAAATGCAAAGCCAACCTTTTTTTTAAAAAAAACAACCCTTTCTTCTGACTGGACTTTTAAAGCTTCCAAAATTTAAGTATTTCCAGAAGGTACGGGCGCTGGTCTGTTGCCTTAAAATCGAACAAAGCCTCTTCCAGCACCCCCAAGGCTGGTCGAACAAACGTTCCCGTCGTTCGCGTTTGACTCCAGACTTAGAGACACATTCAGCGAGTAATTTTCCTGAGTCAGCGCTTGCCTGGCGACCTCCCCAAAGAAGAGCCGCATACTCAGGGCGCTAAACTGCTCCAAACTGGAAAAGATCCCGGTTTGTGACCGTGGCTGATTGTCGGCATCTCTCTTTGCAGATGTGTGTGTGTGTTTGTGTGTGTGTGTGTGTGTCCTAGGTGGTCTCAGTTTCTCGTCTTGTCCTCGTCTCTTCAAAGTGGTGGACTCGGATCCAAGACTAGCGAGCTGAGGGAGAAACAAAGGCTGTTTCTGGAGGAGCCTCTTCCTCGGTCGAAGAAGCTCAGGTGCTGTAACATTTCTCTGGAGGCCGCAGGCTGCCCGGCTGCAGGCTGTTCTCTCCTGTTGGCTGGAGAAGCTCTCAGTCCTTTCTCGCCTCCGCGCGAGGGGAAGCGATCGGAGGTTGTTTTACCCGCACACTTTGCCCCACGGGACAAAATGGACAATCGAGAAACGGCGATGGGCAAGCGTGTTGTTTTCCTAAAGAGAACGAAACTGAATAAGAGTCTGTGGACTTAAAACGAGTGTGTGGGCTCATATTTGCTATGGCATGGATTCAAAGCACATTTGTTTACACGCAGATACAATTTTTCATCCCAGTAATGAAGAAACGGATTCCGCAACAATAAATCTGTTCGCCAGGCGACGTGGGCAGCTTTGAAAAGAGCTATTCCTATTTCCCCCACCAACTAACCAACTTCTCTCTGGCTACAGCAATTGCGGAATTATTATCATTCCGCACATCTTGTTAATCTAATTTCCTTTCACATCCCAATCTTTCTCATTCTTTCTTGAGGGAGGGGGGAGAATAGAACAAAATTATATAATATATAGGTGAATGTATAGAACCCCTTCCATTCATAAATACACACGCACACACACAATTTCTAAACAAGTGTTTCATGCAGCCCAACCGGATCTTTTCCTGTCCCTCAAACACATCTGTGCTAACAAACATGGAGAATCCATCCCCCCTTTATTTCTAAACAGAGAAAACATGAGATTTGTCTCCTGTCTTGGATTTGTTTAGGAAGACCTCACTCAGTATGTATATGTATATGTATATGGAGGATATGCCACCGTATGATTTGGTTATGTTGTTTAATTTCAATAAATTTGCCATCATATTGGTTTCCCTTTCTAAAATATCAGTCTTTATTTTTTTCCGATAAATAAAATCTCTCTGGTATTTTTCTTCTTTCCTCCCCTCCGTATCTGAAAATCTTCCAGGGGCCGTGTGATTGTGCAATCTACTAAATTCCTCGTTCTAATTTTGCATTCCATACTTACAGTATTTTATTTTATCTTCGCTGAACCATTTTCCTCTATACTTAACAGCTGTGTGGCTCCAGACTGAATAGGAAATCACAAAATCTATTGAAAAAGCAAAACTATTTAAAAGATAATTTTTGGAGTGGAGGAATCATTTTAAAACTTCTATCTTTTGGAAAAAGATGAAGTAGAATGGGATTGTGGGCGTTATTTTTCTTCCCCTCTCTTCAAAATTAATTGAAGAAAAATGCATTACATGAATTTATGGCATCGAAAGGGTGAGAGCAAGAGAAAAAGAGGGAGAAAACTGGTATGAGGACAGAAAAACTGACCCTTAGGAAGGTATATAAGACAAAGGAAGTGGGTAACCACCTCCATCTCCACATTCCAATTTGATTTAAAAGACATGTATTTATTCTTTCCCTTCGTCCTGCATACAGTTTATCTGCACGAAAATGTGCATACTTACAGAAAATACAGAAATAAGAAAAGAAAAAAAAATGCTACTTTAAAAAAGCCAACCAAGAAGAAAAGCTCTTTGTTCCAGGTAGTTTTTCTATTAGATTGTCCACTGGAAAAGAAAAAGAACCCACAATCCAGCCTACACAAAAAAACAAAAGCAAAAAATCTTCCCAATATCCTTCCCACACCAATTTAACTCACAAAGCCTCAGTGAACCAAATTGCCCCAGCCGCCTCCCTTGCTCGCCTTACCTCCTTGTGGGATATAACATTCAGAAGCTGGGGTGCACACACAAGCGCAAGCAGGCACACACACACACACACCCATGCACCCCAGCAACGTCTTGCTGTTATCATCAATATTCCATAAATAAATAATGAAATAAAATCCTTAGGCCTGTGGCTGTCTTCCAGGCAAGTTAAAAAGCTGAACTTTCTATTATTCATTGAGAGGGTAGAGTAAGGTGAGGTCCATTTGGGAAAACAAAGCAGCAGCATCTCTTTTGCTTATTTACTAGAGTTTCTCTCTCCCACCCTGGAAACAACCTTTCTTCTTTTTTGCTCAGTCACATTTCATCTAGGAAAGAGCATGAAGCTCGAAATGTGTTCTTAAGGGCCAGAAGCTGTCAAGGCATTTTGGCCGAGAGAAGATTGATCACGCCTAGATTTCAGCAGAGCTTTGTTTGAAGTAAAGCAAGAAATTAAAAAAAAAAACCAAAAAACCACCCACCTTCCAACAACGTATATCTTTGTAAGGCACCCTCTTTCCTCCCCCTCTATTCTTAAATAATTTCCATCTGAATTTTTGCGTTAAGATTATTACAATATATCACCCCTCCCCCACCACCTTTCCTTCCATATTGGAAGGGGGAGTGATTCACTCAAAAACGAAAGAGGCCTGCTGTTCCTTTTCCTTTCGCTCAGATGTGCTTCATCAGAAGATGAAGCAACGAGTTTATCATTTGAACCCTCTTGAACAATTCCCAGCACTAAATCAGAATCTCAAAGTGGGCTACATTTAGGGAGTCCTCGAAATGCACAGGAATACCACCATTCTTCTCTTCTCTTCCCTATAGCATATTTTGCTGTGGAGGAGAGGAAATGCCCTTTTCTGTTCCTTGTTACTGAATCCCCCTGATTCCTTCCAATGTTTCGCCCCCTCCTTTCATTTTTATTTGAGGCGATTGAAGAAGTACTGTTGTGTCCACGTCTTCAGAAGTCTCCAGCGTTGTTGAATGACCAAATCGAAAGAAAAGCCAGCAAAAAAAATGGTGTAGGTCGAACAATCTTATTTGGAAAGGGGATCCGTTTTATAGTTTTTTTCCTACATGATTGATAATAATTTTTAAAACTGATATTGAATGTTGGTGTATTTCTTCTAAATTAAGACTTATCTGGCCCATTTTTGTTGTGATTAAGGGGAAACAGTGAGTCAGAGCCAGCTGAATCCAATATCGTTTTTGTTAATACTCTGATTTGTAACCGACTGCATTTCTGTGAAAGGTACTTCTATGATTTGGGTGTTTGGTGGAAATGCTTAGGATTGTACTATCCAATTCTGTCCAGCCAACTCAAGATATGTACATGACACCGCTGGACTTCTGTTGTTCTGCCTATGGAAGCGAAGTTCCTGGAGAAAATTCCTTCTTTACAATGGATACATGCCAAAATCTGCCGCCAATTGTTCTCGGTACTGTACCGTTCAGAAAAGTGGAGCACCCACCCACCCACCCCCGCCCACCCTCGGAGAAATGCAGAGAGATGCCAGGTCTTGAGGAGGGGGTGGGAAACCCCACTTTGTTCTGGTGCTTGTTTTAATTTTAGGAAGCAATTATTTCTTTCTTTAGGACTGGTGGTGAAGGGGAGAAATACAAATAAAATGCAAATCTAAAGTAGGGCTCAACGCTTGGCAACCCAGGCCGGGTGCAACTTTCAGATGCGGTTGAGATGAGGAGCCGGCAATGTCAAAACTTTGAAGATTAATGGATTACTTTGTTAATGACTCAAGGCGTCAGATTGGAGGTGCTTAAATGATTTGCGAGGTGCGAAGCGCTTGCCTGACAGTTCCAAACAATGAGAGGGGAGGGCGCAGGACGGGAACAAGCGGGGCAGAAGCCCTACAGGGCGAGCAGAGCCGCGGCGGCTACAGGAGCAGCGGCGGCGGCGGCAAGAACGAACGGCCAAGCGGCGACCGCAAGAGACGCAGGCACACACTCTCTTTCACACAAGCACAGTCACTCACCCCAGATATCATTTCAGATTAGGAGGCAAAAGGGGAGCGGGCGAGCAGCGGAGGAGATAAGCCTCCTCCTAAAAAAAAAAAAAAGTGTAAATAATGCCGCTCCGGCCCCAATGAGGCGTTCCTTCTCGACTTTTTTGGATCAATCAAACAGACAGTGGCTTCTTTTGATTAAAGCCCAAATTGTCATTGGGCAGAGGCAATCATGTGACAGCCAATTCGGTCCAATTTCAACCTTGTCTCCATGAATTCAATAGTTTAATAGTAGCACGGTCCCCATACGGCTGTAATCAGTGAATTAGAAAAAAAACACCCCACGAGCGATCTTCTATGATTTTTTTTCCCTCCCTTCTTTCTTGTCTCCCCCTATTTCTTTCTTTCTCTTCTTCTCTTTCTCTCTCGGTCCCCCCCCCCTTCCCCTTACTGGGCCTTGCTCCCCCTCCCCCTCCCAGAAGCGCTAAATAAGAGGGAACTTTTTCTCCAAGGGGGCTGCGAGTTGAAGGCCATGAATTTCGAATTTGAGCGAGAGATTGGCTTTATCAATAGTCAGCCATCGCTCGCTGAGTGCCTGACATCTTTTCCCCCTGTCGGTGATACATTTCAAAGTTCATCAATCAAGAACTCGGCGCTTTCACACTCGACACTGATTCCTCCTCCTTTTGAGCAGACCATCCCCAGCCTGAAACCGGGCAGCCACCCTCGCCACAGCAGCGGCAGCCGCCCCAAGCACAGCCCCAATGGCAACAGCGGCAGCCCAGTGCCACCCGGCGCCCTCCAGCCTCCGGAGTACCCCTGGATGAAAGAGAAAAAGGCGTCCAAGAAAACCGCCCTGCCGCCGCCTGCTTCGGCCTCCGCCCCTGGACCAGCTTGCCTGAGCCACAAAGGTCAGTTGAAAGACTTTGCTGCACCATTCCGCTTCCCAAGGCTTCCCCACGATTTGTTTGTTCTCCCCCACCCTCCCCACTGCCTTCGCCTTCTCTGTTGGAGCGTTGCCTTCCTAACTCAGGCGCTGAACCCTGAGGAAGGAAGCTGGCGATGGGATCCACAGGCAAAAGCACCAGAGACACCATCCCTCCTTCGCCCCCACCCCAAGCAAAGTTTCTTTCCCCCTAACTTGTTTAGCGTGGGATGATTTATTTGAGTTGGAGGTGACCTCCTCTTGTCTCGCTGTCCTAGAGTGGGATCCTTGACAGTAATGAAGAGTGATAGATTACTCTTGCTCAGCTAAGCAGCTGATGCATTAATTATAATTTGTGGTATGACTAATATCAAAGTTTGCTCGGCTAGGGGAAGGTTTGGGAGATGGAGCTCCTCCAGCTGAGGGAAAAAGGGGTCCCGGAGAGCGGGCGTGCAAGGGGGCAACACAATGGCTTTATTGCATTCGCGGGCGGCCATTTTGTTGCAGTTGAGATGTTTTTACGCTCTGGAGAGAAGGAGAGCGAGAGGCAGAGATTCCCCACCACCAGCACCACTCTGTTCTTTCCAGACTCGAGTGTCCTCAAAAGGACCAGCTGGGGCAAATTTTCCACCTCTCACCCCTTCCATGGCATGCATCCTTCTAACTGTGGCTATTTTTTTTCCGTCAACAGAATCTCTGGAGATCTCAGAAAATGGAAATGGGGGCTCTAGGAGGCTCAGAACTGCGTATACTAACACACAGCTTTTGGAGCTGGAGAAGGAATTTCATTTCAACAAGTACCTCTGTCGACCCAGGAGAGTGGAGATAGCAGCTCTCCTAGATCTGACGGAGAGGCAAGTCAAAGTGTGGTTTCAAAACAGGCGGATGAAGCACAAGAGGCAGACCCAATGCAAGGAGAACCAGAACAGCGAAGGGAAATGTAAAGGCTTGGAGGACCCCGAAAAAGCCGAAGAGGAGGAGGAAGAGGAGGAAGAGGAAGAAGAAGAGGAGAAGTCTCTTTTTGAGCAAGCCCTCAACAATATCTCGGGTGCCCTTTTGGACAGGGAAAGCTGCCCTTTTCAGCAGAATGCCCTGGCTCAGCCGCAGGCGCCTCCAAGCCTCCACAATGGAGAGTCCCAAACTTTTCCAGTTTCGCCTTTAACCAGCAATGAGAAAAATCTCAAACATTTTCAGCACCAGTCACCCACTGTTCCCAATTGCCTCTCAACAATGGGCCAGAACTGTGCAGCTGCCCTGAACAATGGCAGTCCGGAGGCCCTAGAAGTCCCTTCTTTGCAGGACTTCAGCGTTTTCTCTGCAGATTCCTGCCTACAGCTTTCTGCTGCTGTCTCCCCCAGTTTGCCAGGATCCCTCGACAGCCCTGTAGATATTTCAGCCGACAGCTTTGACTTTTTCTCAGATACGCTCACCACAATTGACTTGCAGCACCTGAATTACTGAGAAAGCACAGACCTTCATGCACCAAGGGTTATACCTTCTTTTTTTTTTCTCCCTCCTCTCCTTAATTTTTATTTTCCCTTCCTCCTTTGATCTGATTTCTTTTTCTTTGTCTGTGATGTTGGAGAACTACTTTGCCATTTCCCAATGGCATTTTAGTTCAACCTAGTCACAATCTAGGTCCTTCTATTAAAGCAATATATATGGCCTGTAAGAAAGTGATCATATCAAATTTGTATCTTCACTTTCTTTTTATTTTTGTATTACATTAGGGTGCGTTGTCATAAGTATTTTTGGTAGAATAAATTCTTGTTTACTACAAGCACCTTTTTATCTCTTTCTCTCTCTTCATGTATAGCACAAGGAGTTGCCCCCCCCCCTCCTTTGGTCTGAAATAAAGCCAAGAAATTTGGTTACAGACCTCTATTCTTTTTTTTTTTCTTGAGAAAAACATTTATTGGAAGAAAGCTACTGAAATCTTTTCCCTCCCTTTCTCCCCCATCTCCCAAAATGGCATTGTTACAATTCTTCCCATAACTTAGAGAAGATCTTTGATCCTTATTAAAAATAAGCATTTCCTCCGTTTAATACATACCATATATTAGAATTAAAATACACGAAAATACTGCTTTAGTGCTATTAAAAGCTATTAAAAACACTGAGTTTGTCTCTTGCACGCATATATATATGAAAGAAAAATATTCTGCAAAAGAAAAAAGCAGGGGCTCCTTAGGAGGATTAGTTATGTAGACAGATAAAATGTATATATTTATATTAGTCACTGTGTTTATTCTTTTTGCGAATCATGTCTTGGAAAGAAATGTTGGTGTGGAGAACCAAGAAAGGTAGGCTTCTGATGGATTTCCGTCCCAGTGTTCCAAAGGTCCCAAGAAAAGAAATCTAAAAGAGAGAGGAAATCAGAAAAGCCATTTGGTAAAATCTAGTTATTAACTGTTCAAGGCATATAAACTATGGGTTCGAAATTGGGTTCAAAGGACAAAAGCTCAGGCTGAAGTTGGAGAAACGGGCATTCTCAGCACAGCTCAGTTTGAACTAGGTTAACAAGTGTACATTTCAGAAGATCTTTTAGCTATCCTGTCCTGCCAAAAGCACATAAAAATTGAAGAGGCCGATCTAAAAGAGCTGTTAATTGAAAGTGGTGGTGGTGGTGTGTGTGTGTGTCCATCCTCTACTGCAGGTTAATTTAACTCATTCATACAGGTTGATATGCGTTATTTTGTGTCCTACAAGATAGCAGCCTTTGTTAACAGATGGGGTTTGTTTTTCTTGGTGTGTGTGTGTGTGTGTGTGTGTGTGTGTGTAAAAACTGTCCTTTTTTTCCTCCCTTTCCCTTGGTAAGAATGCGTATGTATGTTTATGTAGGTACACTAGTATATGGAGAGAGAGAGAGAGAGAGAAAATGATTCAGGCTTTTCAGGCTTCCAGTTTGCTAGCACTTCTGCTCAGGCTGCATTTATTTTGGTGGCAGATTGCTTTCCTGCTTTGCAACCCATCTATGTGGGGTGGCGCAAAACCGCGTGGGTAATAGCTGGAAGGACTGGATGTAATTCTTCCTAAACTCATAAATCAAACGCTTTTTGTGAATGAGAATGTCATCAAAGAGATCAATTGCAGGAACACATGCACAAATAAAAATCCTCTTACGTATTTGCTGGAGTAGGGGATCCCCGTCTAAAACCATTAAGCTTGGAAGAGGCTAGTCATAATTCATTTTTTATTGCTCTGTTAAAACAACTGTTTGGCTAAGCTTCAGGTGCGGCAGGGAATCCCCTTTCTTTTCCCATTCCCCCCTTCCTTCTTCGCCTAGCACGAAGATCGAAGGTCGCTCTTTCATTTTCTTTAAAGAAGCACGTTTTCGTTTATAGGCGTTTTAGTTTATAGGCAAACCAGCAGGTCTGTTAGTTTGGGGAGCCTCCTATGCTACTGACAAAGAAGCTTTCGACACAAATCAGTTGCCTCCAGACCCTAAGCAGATTTTCCCTTGAGACCAGAACTATGCTGAGACATATAGTTCTCACACAAAAAGGGGGGCGAGGGGGCGGAAAGAAATCCTAAACAATGATTCCGGAATGTGAAGGTTTTCGGGGGAATTCTTGAGTGCCTTAAACTATCCGATAAACGCAACAAACGGCGTTGCTCGGTTCAGATTACCGAGGACAGGCTCGCCACAAAGGGGGCTGTAGGGGCGAAGCGGCGAGGGATCGGGTCTTGGAAAAGTCCCGAGAGGTGAAAGTTTTGGAGGGAACTCGCGCGTTCGAGAGTCAAGTTAGAAACCTTGATGGCTGCAAGAGACAAGCCGGTTTCCTTTCTCTTTCTCGCCCCACTATAAATTCTCCCCCTTCTGCACTCTGGCAAGCAAGCGGGGAGGGGGCGGGGGCAGTTGAGTTCCCCAGAGGAGGCAAAGCTTTCGGGGGGGGGGGGAAGAGACCCTGACAAAGGGGGAAAGTTCTTTGGAACAATGGGGGAGAAATAGACGGCAGAGGATTGAAGGAAGCAGCAGTAAGCAAAGGAAAGGAAAGGAGGGAGGGAGTGGGGGCGGGGAGAGGGAGGGAGAGAGAGAATGTCTGAAGAGAACAGATGGATAGATAGAAATCGGGCAAAGAATAAAACTGTTCCAATAGTTATTTGGTCTAACAGAAAACAGTAAACATTATTTTTATTTTCAAAGTCAACAAACAAAGGTTCTGTTTTTCTAGCAAGAAACATAAAATCTCGGTATATCTATGTCCTTTCCTTTCAGCTACCCTACAATGTAAGCAACGTTGTATGCTAACTTCACTGATCTGGTTAACAGCTCTATCTGAATCCACTGAATATGCTTCCTATTTTTGATGATGGATCTGTGAATGTGAATTATGAAAATGGTTTGCTAAACTCTAAAGTGGCAAGTGATATTTTCTTTATTCTGTTCCTAAAAGAAACAGAACTAAGTGTAGACAATAAACTTCCAACCAAAGAGGCGTTTAAAAAAAAAATAGGCTGTAGAATTTAGCTGTTTACAAAAATGCCAGAGACCTCCTTCTAAAAATATTAAGCGTGTCTTCATAGCTAATAAGCTTCACATTTTGATCAACTTCTCCTAGGTCCTAACTTTCATAGTTATCAAAATAAGAACATTAGGTTACCTAGGTTACTCTAGGTTACCAGAAGAGCTAACCTAGAGATGTAGTTTTTTAGGAAAGAAAATAGCAATCTAATTAGATAATGACTAGAACGAAATCTGGTATGTGAGTGAAGTAATAACTAACTAGTCAACTGTTTAGAATTGGCACAAACCTTAATGCTTTCAGCAGGCCTCTTTGAAGCAAACGTTCCCAGGGCCTTTCCATGCTTGTTTTATCACTTAATTTTCTTTTCTAAATCACCTTTTTGTGTAATATAAAGTTTTTTAAGGACTTCCTTCTTAAAAAAACAGAAAGAAAAAGAAAGGAAAAAAAGGGGTGGGGGAAAAAAGGAAGATAGAAAAAGAAGAAAGTATTATCAAAGCATTTAGTAAATAGCTAAGCTCTTCGACCCAGTTCTAAACTCAGGAAAAAAATGGGTGACTTTAATGGCACTCTTCCAAGAAGAAACTTGTGCGGTTGGGTGGAAAACAGAAGTAGAGGGCCATCATTTTGAGCGCGGACTTTTTGCTTTCCCTCGTCTTCTGCCACGACGAAAGATATACATCAACTTAGGTGAAAATGAATCCCAGACTGCCGTTGTCGCCTCTCAGCCCTTTTCCTCGGTCCCTTTCCTTTTAATCACGGGACGTGGTCATTCAGCGCTGGTATTTCACAGAACATCCTGCTCTGTTTGGTGTTTTCAAACCGGGTGTACAGCCAATGGGGAGGGGGAAAGAAGGAAAGGAAGAGGCAGGCGAGACTGCGCGTGATTGGCAGAGGGAGGTAGGGTCGAAAACCGGGAAAGAGATGAGGGGGGGGGGAGGAGGCCGAGTGTTTGCACAGGCGCTCTGCTTCTTCAGCTGCTGAGCTGGGCAGAAGCGAAGACCGCTGCCAATGGCAGCCTTTGTAAGCGTTTCCTTTCCGCACCAAACGGCGTCAAGCATCAGCAGAAGCCCGCAGCCTAAGCCCAGAGCCTTGATTTTAATTCAGCCACCTCCTTCCCACAGTCACCGCCCTTCTTGGGAATTCAGAGCCCGCGTCCGCGGCAACAACAATGGCGTTGCGCCTTATTTCCATGCAAATAGCCGAGGGAGGTTGGACTAAGCGCCATTAACTCTTGCTGGGTCGCCCAGGTTCGGACCGTCCCGAGCGAAGAGGGACGTGTCCTGGTTGCCCCCTTGCCCGGATGATCGCCTTATCCCTGTAAAGTCGGGCCTTTAGGCTTCCCCCAGCCCGGGTGCTCTACACCTGGGAGAAGGTGCCAAAGAAGCGGCAACCGATTTGATGGCGAGCGCCTTTGCTTACCTGCAGGCTCTGTGTCCTTCCATCCACGCTGGGGCAGCCCCCTCCGGCGGCCGCTCAGTGCTTTCTGTTCTTACTGCTGTTGTTCCCGCGGCGGCTGCTCCAGGTTGAGCGCTTGGGCGCACACTGGCTCGCCGGCCCAGCTCTCCAAGCCCAACACGCTGGCTGAGAAGAGAGTGAGAGGGAGGGAGGCAGCGGCGGCGGCGGCGGCGGTGTCTGCGCGTCACCTTGATGAAGGGGCGCTCAGAATTTAAATGCCATAGCCAGGGTGATCCATCACCAGGAAGGAACAGGGCAACTTTGGCAGCCGCAGCAATGATTGGCTGCCGCCCTCACGTGGTCAACGCCTCACTGTACATTCATATCATTTTTCTTCTGGCCCCCATGGAGGAAGTGAGAAAGTTGGCACGGTCACCCAGTACTTCGAAGAGCCGGTCAATCGGTGATAGATGGACACGGCAAGGATGAATTCCTTCCTCGATTATCCGCCCATCCTCAACGGCGAGCCCACCACTTGCGCCTCCCGTGCCTATCACCGCCACCACCACCACCACCACCCAGACCATGGGATTACAACCACTTTTCAGTCGTGTGCCGTCAGCGCCA